TATGTATATGTATATGTATATGTATATGTATATGTATATGTATATGTATATGTATATGTATATGTATATATTTAGATATATGACTAGATCTACGACTAGATCGTGCATTGTTGCAAAACAGAGAACAGAACCTGAAGAAGAGCAGGTGAGAAAAGGGAGGGGGAGCTACAACACCATCACATTCTCCTCACACCTTTTTAATGCCGTTTTCAAATGCTTGCTTAGCCAAAGGACCAGGTCCATCCACTGTACGCCCATCGTCATCTGGACCCCAGCTAGCACTGTAGACATGGATGTATTCGGGCTTGGCGCCGATCGCCTTCGCTTCCACCACATCGGTCACGTCGCCGTCTAACATTCGGATCCCTACACCCGGATGTTTCAAAAAAAAAAAAGAACAAAAAGAAATGGGTTGGGATAGCTCTTGGGAGAGGTGCTATGGACACAACCATCAAAGGCTTTAGTTCAAAGTGCTGCCCGAAGGGCTCTCTTTGCTTGGAGGGATTGGTCACTGAGATAACCTAGGTAGAGTATTATCTTTGGGCAGAATCAATTCGCATCGGAATGAATCCTGAACCAGCTGGGGCTTCGGCATTACCTTCAGGATTGGCCTCCGAGACAAAGCGTTACGACGACAGCGCGACTGGAAGGTTACCAAGCTATGGATACTCAGCTCTGGCCAAATCCACAGCTGCACCGTAATGAGACGGAGCCGTCACTAAGAGTAGGGGGGGGGGATTTGCTTTGTGCATAATTCTGGCACACCGCAGGCAACACCTTGCAGAATAAACAAAGATTGGGAATGGTAGGTGGGGGGAGAGAATACATTACAAGCCCGAAGGCAGATGGAACATTTGCACAACGAAGCATAAGTTGGTTATGGAAATATACAGGGTGAATTACTCTCCTCTATGATGAGTCTGGACACCGGTTCAGCAACTAGCCAAACAGGGCACTCCTGGAAATGAATAAAGCAAGAGGTATGGTCCACCAGAAAGTTGGCCGGGGTCTCTTCCCAATGAAATGGGAACCAGGCAACAGCTGAGCCTGCTGGATCAGGGCCAAAATCCTCCTTGAATTTATGGTATTTTCATTTCATTTTATTTCTTTAGCGAGAGAGAAAAAAACGCAGCCAAACCAACAGATACTATAATATTAAAAAGGAAGCGCTTAGCCTTGAATGAATGAATGAATAAATAAACATACATGAATCAGTCTCCGAAAAAAAATTCTAGCAGCTTGATTCATTATTTCTATAAAGGGGAACGACTGATTATTTATCATGGTTTAGAGGTTTGCCATGGGTGGCAACGCACTTTTAGGAGAAAGGGCAGCCAAGGGTAATCTTAGTGTCTAATATTGTTAAGTGTAAAGGCCTCTGTTTAGTTTTAAGGGATTGCGTTTTTCTTTCTGTGCATATTTTTCCTTAAAGGTAAAGGTTCCTCTTGTGCTAGTCGTTTCCGACTCTAGGGGACGGTGCTCATCTTCGTTTCAAAGCCGAAAAGCCAGCGTTGTCCAAAGACGTCTCCATGGTCATGTGGCCAGGCATACGGAACACTGTTCCCTTCCCACCAAAGGTGGTTCCTATTTTTCTACTTGCATTTTTACATGCTTTTGAACTGCTAGGTTGGCAGAAGCTGGGAGCTCACTCCGTTACGTGGCGCTAGGGATTCGAACCGCTGAACTGCCAACCTTTTTGATCAACAAGCTCAGTGTCTTAGCCACTGAGCCACCCTTCCTTAAGAATTTTTCCTTAGGAAAAAAAAGAAAACCAGAAGGAAAAGTTAATTACAGCTGCAGCTTTACTGTGGATTGCAGTTTTTTTTTAATAAACTCTCTTGAACATTATCCTCCTCTGATAGTACAGAATGAATCTAGGTAGTTTAACAACAACAAAAAAACAACCACCACAAAGCCTTCCCCTGAGCTTAATTCAAACCAGCATTGTGCAGCAGGCTTATTTCTATAATTGTTGCTAGAAGTTCAAGGCCAGACGCTACCTTCCTCCGAAGATAATTGGTTGGGTAAAAAAGAAACACGCAAGGCAGTTTCAACTCACTAAACACAAATGCATCTACCTTCACCCATTAGGCAATAAAAGCATGTAGAAATAAATAAAGCAACTGGTTGCAAAAATTTGTAGCCTGTCTTTGGGAGATGTGATTATGTCTCATTTAATGAAGGGCTCTAGATCTTCACGGTAATGGGAAAACTGAAAAAGCTTCCAGGAAATCGAGAAATAAGCTAAACAGAAGGGGATTTTGATCTTAGAAAAGTTTCATGCTCCACCTGAGTTAAGGTAGAACTTTAGTATCACACATACTAAAAGACCTCTGGTTATAAAGAACCCCGATACTGAGATTGTACAATGTTAGGCTTTACAAAACAAAACATGTGTAGAACTTTAGCATAATGTCTCTCCCAGAAACCAAATTTCCGAATTTGTAATTAATAGTGCTGCTCAAAATCCTGCAAAACTTATTTGAGTAAATTCTCCTTCCAGTTGTCCCAAAGGTGCTTTTTCAGGAGGCAACTGCGTGACTTGACAAAAGCGTGCACAACAAAAGCGTGCCAACAAAACCACGTCGCTAAAACTGCAACGTCATCAACGTAGCGACAACAGCGCGGCGACAACAGCGCGGCGACAACAGCGCTGTGACAGAAGGGCGCTTTACAACAGCGCGTCAACAG